AAATTCCAATGCTTTGTAATTGTTTTTACGTAAGGGTTCATACAACTTTCTCCAAGAAACAGGCAACGAAGTTTCGTTGCATCAAAGATGCGAGGAATGGCGAGCATGTAAGAAGGATTCTTCGTTCTAGTTTATCGTCGGAATCGGTGTGGGAAATCCCTCGTTTCGGGTATCGGAAGCCGGACTAAACGGCGCTGATTCACCGCGCTAATTAATATTCATAGGCATAATTCGATCCGTCGCGTCCCGTCGCGCGTATCGTTCGAGATTATAAACGGGCATAGCCGCAGCAAACTGAATTATCGTTCAGCGTCTTGCAGCGATTAATTGTTTTCGTCCGCTCACGGGAAACGAACCCGGAAGTTCTCATGTTCCCGAGGCCCCGTGATCAACAACGTTATCCCGCTGCTCGATGAAAACTTCGGCAACGATTAATAGATGTTTAATTTTGTTTCATCGTCGGCCTTAGCAGTTGGCTGCCAGCCGGATTAAGAACGTTACCGGGGTTTCGCGAGAAATAGTTTCCCCTCGTAAACTACAACGGCTAGATGAATAATGCGAACTTCCTGGTCAGAGCTCAGTTTTTGTTTCATTAGAGGTACGCGAGTTCGAATCGATCGGATTTCACGATGAAATTAACCTAATTTATTTCTCGCAGCGATAACGACGTAAAAATCTGGGTTTTCATAAACTAACGATCTTCATCAGTGATTCGATACAGGGCGTCCATTATCGCGATGTAATCAACCAGAAATAAGCTCTGAATGCTTTTGACTACGCTCGATTTCCATAGAGCTCGTAGTCATCAATCTCCCATCGATTCACATTTTGTTAACTCGTAATAATACGAGAACAGGCGAGCACCCTCGAGCATTGCAACGCGGCGCGTGTTCGGGGTACGGATGAACCCGTCACGCGCGACTAAACGGGAAATGGAAAAGGGAAACTTGGAGCGATCGGAGTTAGAAAGTACCCGGGACAAGATACAGAGAGGCGAGATCGGGAATTGTCAACGGTGACTTATGGCAGAACCCCCACGGCTTCTGCCTTTCGTCCCGTTCACACCCGATTCGACGGGGAACACGGAGTCCTAGTAAAACCAATTCGAATAATCGAACATGCATGACGATACATCGCAGATTCTTACGCGGGACAGAATATTCGCGACGGCAATTTAGAAAATGGAACCAGAGGAATTTGTTAATTCACTTTTCATATTCTACGTCGCATTTCCTTACTGCATTTACAAATTAAATTCGCAGTTTAACATTAGAATTACTGGCGATCGACGTATTTCTACTTCTACCGGAAGGGTTAAAATGACTTGTTTTTCAAATTAATAAGTCATTTACAAAAGACAGC